GGATCTCTCGTGGAACCCGAAACCATTTCCAAACACATTCAAACACATAACGACAACATTACGTATTCAAGTAAAAAAATTAAACCAAGAATCACACCAAATATACCCTAACACGATTCCTAAACATGCCAAGACTTAACATAAATCACATAACAATCCAGGGACATCTGGAATCACAAGAACATCAAGAAATCTATATGAAAAGTTCTAAACACAAGTCCGAGGCTAGACTCAACACCCGATCATGCAAAATCTCACTCAAATATACCAAGAATATCATAATACGAAATCCACGTTATAACCCTAGGGCTCTAGACGTAATCAAAATATTAGATCGTTCATATAATTAATCATAGTATCAAGAACATCAAGATTATCACATAAGCATCAAGATTATCACATAAACACCAAGATTATCACATACACACAATATAAACCCTAGACAAAGCTCTATCAAGACTCAAGCACAGAATTATATATCAAAGGAGCCAATGAATAAGATATAGCAAGGAAAATAGGTTTTGTTGAGACATGGGTTACCTCTTAGCCTTAATTAATCCTCCATTGGCTATTAAGGTTCTTCTCTAAGATTTCCATCCGATTGATCTCCCTAGGCTTGGTGGTGGGGAATCTCCCAGGAATATTTTCGTGTAATATAACTATGGGTGGTAAGGGTTTTAATTGCTTTCTAATCCCCTGTTTATAGAGCTAGGAATCCTAATCAGAGTCTGAATGGTAAAGACCTATATTTTATTCCTAACAGGTATATAGGTCTAGGATTCCTAATTAGAATCTGAGTAGTAATTCCTACTATCTTTATTCCTAATATGTATATGTGATATTGATTATGCTTCGCAAAATATGATTTGAATTCCTCCATATCTATGATTATCGGTATACATATGTTTTTGAGAATGACTTCTTAGAAAGTCTATATTTGAAATGATTACTTGTCGAGGAATATGATGTTGAGAATTGTTATTATGAAATCCTCCATACTTATGTATATTTTGGAAATGATTAGAAATGGTTTATGAAATGATTATAAGGTTTTGAAAGTGTTATATACTATCTTATTGAGAAAACAATTATCTCATGCGTAATATTATACTATGTTTTGAGTATAATGTACTATGGTTATGATGCCTTGAAAATAAAGAATACTATTATCTTGAAATCTATAATCTTATGTAATATGGAATTATTGTTGAGTAAAGTGTATTATGGTTGTTAAGTACTATTTTGGGGAAAAACTATAAACCTTGTCTATGAAGTCAAGTAAAAACTATTTTACAAAAGTTGTGTCTGTGGTTGTTATTATTTGGTGTATAACTAGAGTTTTGACTGTTGTATTTTAAGAAACCCTCATTCTTTAGTTCGATGTGTGTACTTTGGGAAAGTCGCCGGATCTCGTCCTATCACCACCACTGGTTCGTCAGACATTCTAGACCCAAAAACCTGGTCGCAGGAGAAGAGGGAGGTCGCCGGAAGCTCCAGTCGGCGTCGATGCTCACAAACAGTTCTCCGCTGCCATCGAGCCGTCGTCCAAAGGAAACGTTCGCCGATGCTCACTGTCGTCTATTGCTCCCCAATCTGCTGCTGCTTGTTGGCGTTGACTACCGCTGAATATGGAGAGGAGAGGGAGAGGGCGGTGATGGTGGAGGTTCGTGTTGTTGGTGGCTGCCATCTATGGTAGTTGTTGGTGATGGGGGGAGAGTCAGCGAGAGAGAGAAGGAGCGAGAGACGGAGAGAGGTAGGGAGATAGGGTTACGAAAATGGAGAAGAATAGAATAGTGACATTTATATATCTAGGGTTTGGGTCTAAAAAATTAGATTTTAAATTTGATAATATATATATATATATATATATATATATATATATATATATATATATTTTGGTTCCTGTGAGATCAGGTCTTTCCGTGTGGTCAGTGCGGCATACACCATTACGTATGCATAAATGCACCATACAGTGTTCGAAAATACACCACAATGAAATGCCAAAAAATGCACCAGAAAAAAAAAAATACACCACACATATAGTGTATTTAAGAACACTGTGTGGTGCATTTATGCATACCTAATGGTGTATGTCGCACTGACCGCACGGGAAGACCTGACCTCACTGGAACCTGACCATATATATATATATATATATATATATATATATATATATATATATATATATATATATATATATATATATATATATATATATATTTATTTATTTATTTATTTGTTTAGAGTGAATTCCCTTTTTGGCCCTACTGTTATAGGGGTGTTTTCAATTTTAGTCCACCTTAATTTTTTTTGCCACTTTACAACCACTGTTATTGAATGTGTTCCACTTTTAGTCCACCGTTAGTATTTTCGTCAAGAGGCCGTATATTCCAAGGGTATTTTGGTCTTTTTATGTTTGTCTTTTCTCTTTTAATCCAAGCGCTTCGTCCTCCTCCTCCGATATTCGAAGATGGCTCTTCGAACAACGAGAATCGGAAGCCAAAGCTACATCATTTCGTTCATTCCAACATGGGCCGGCGAGGTTTCTTAGGTTTTAGGTTTAATGTTTTAATTTCTTTAGTCACACATAGTTTTGGATGAGAGGAAAGGTCAAAATACCCCTAAATTACATGGCCTCTTGATGGAAATACTAACGGTGGGACTAAAAGTGGAACACATTCAATAATAGTGGATATAAAGTGGCAAAAAAAATTAAGGTGGACTAAAATTGAAAATGCCCCTATAACAGTAAGACCAAAAATAGAATTCACTCATTTATTTATTTATTTATTTATTAGGCTATTTTAAAGATAGGATGTATAGATTGGACAAAAACTTTGGGCCTAGAATAGTTGGGTTATTGGGGTAAAAAAAATCATTGGGCTTAGGAATCTAATAGTTATAAAATAGTGTTAGCAAGCTAGTCTCAGATAGATTTTGGGTAGTAAAATCATGGGCCCTAAAATAGTTTTATGGAGCGTTATGCCATGGAACCGTGTTCACCATTCATGGTGAACACGGTTCCAACGGTGTTAGTATACCGTTATCTTTTTTTTTTTTTTTTCTTAATTAATTGCGTGACTTTTCTTCTTCATTTTCACATTTTGCGGTTTCACTTTAATTTGAGGTGAACAATGATTTCGGACATTCATAAATTATGAATTCATGCCTGCACATTCACTTTGGAACCATGCCTACACATTCCCGTCCGAAATCACGGACATTCATAAATTATGAATCCATGCCTGCACATTCACTTTGGAACCATGCCATGCCTGCACATTCACTTTGGAACCATGCCTACACATTCACTTTGGAACCATGAGATTATGAATTTTCTGTTATAAAATTATGAATCCATGCCTGCACATTCACTTTGGAACTATGCCTACACATTCACTTTGGAACCATGAGATTATGAATTTTCTGTTATAAGATTATGAATTTTCTGTTATGAGAATATGAATTTTCTGTTATGAGATTATGAATTTTCTGTTATGCGATTATGAATTTTTTGTTATGCGATTATGAATTTTCTGTTATGAGATTATGAATTTTATGAAAATTCATAATCTCATAACAGAAAATTCATAATTTGATCAACGCGCGCCGTTAACTCCACACCCGCGATTTTTTTTTTTTTTTTTTTTTTTTTTTGCCTAAAAACGACGTCGTTTGGCATTGTGTTCACCATTCTCGGTGAACGCGTTTCCAGGGCATAATTTGCCTAGTTTTATTTATAATTTGTAGCAAAATAATTGTTTTGAAAGTATTCGGGATAAAATATTTTCGATTGAAAGATAAATTTTGCTCCCGAGAATATTTTATTAAAATAGGACTGTTTAAAATTACGGGGTGTCACACACATAGCTTTTAGCAGGTGGACATAACTTGTGATTGTGTTCCTTCAAATGTTTTATCACAACCCACTGCCTATTAGGTGCTACATCAAACTGACAAAAAATAGTACTTCATGTCCGTGTGTTTACCCTTGAATATAATCTAGCATATTTATCTGATTTGCATTTGAAACCAGACTTTGCACGAAACATTTTCATTTTCAAATTCTGACTACCAGCAAAGTAATATTACTTGGCCTTCCTAACACTAAATCTCAACCTAAAAGCATAATCATTATATAGATTATACGCTTCTTCAATTGAATTAACTGAAAGCCCCAATAGCTCTTGATTAACCGTAAATTACAAAAAACACTACAACTATAATATAATGCAAATACAATATTTTTCTACAACTAACAATTTAGTAGTATACACGCATTTAGATTATTTTTAATGAATACTAAATTTCTAAGTTGTGGGGGATGGGGTGTGCTAAAAAAATTCGGCCATGCTCTACAAAGAAATAAGATATTCATTAAAACAATAAAAACAGAAATTACACATAAATGATGCATGGAAATAATGAACTTTATGCATAAAAACAATGCACTTTATGCACATAAATAATGTACTTTATGCATATAAATAATTTACTTCCGTCAGTTACACATTATTAAGGACTCTATGTATTTGAGTTTGATTATGATTCCCTATCCCAGTCTCTCTGAGACTTCCTTCTTATATATAATTATATACCTGTAATTTGTACATTGTATTAATTCATTCAATACACAACTCTATTAGCTCTCATTTGGTATCAGCTGAGCTCGGGTTTTCTTTCCAATGGCTGACGGATATGTTAATTTCTCTGAACGGACTGTCTCTAATGCTCCTATCTCTTCCGCTACATCGGTGGTTAATTCTTTATCCACCGCTCACCACTTCATCAACATTAAGTTGACCTACAAGAACTACTTATTTTGGAGAGCCCATGTTGTTCCTTTTCTTGATGGTCACGATCTTCTTGGATTTTTTTATGGAACGAATCCATGTCCTCCAGCAACCCTAACCGGCGACGACAATGATACGGCAACCGCGCAGCTCAATCCGGCGCATCATGCGTGGGTCCGGTAGGACCAAGCCTTATTGTCCATGTTGATGTCGTCCTTCTCCGATGAGGTCATGCCTCTCGCCATCGGTCACCGCACCAGCCGGGCTGTCTGGACTGCTGTGATTGGTGCACTCGCGTCGTCTTCCTGCTCCCAGGGTCTCAATCTACTCGGACAATTGCAGACACTTGATCAAGGAGACATATCCGCGGTTGAGTACATCGGCAAGGCTATGGTTTTGGCGGAGGAGCTCGCACTCGCCGGCCGACCTATGACACTCGAAAAACAAAACCTTTACGTTCTTCAGGGGTTACGGCCAGAGTTCAGGGGTCTCACATCATCTCTCATCGTACACGGCCAGCCTATTACTCTCCAGGAGCCTGCGGATCTCTTGGGCGGGGAGGAATTTATGACGCGCGATGGTCTTGGAGGTGGCTCGCCGGCTGCTTTCACGGCGCAAAAGGGTGGCCAGAAGGGCCACAGTTCCGGGCGTGGTAATGGTGGTCGTGGTTCCGACCAGAACAACGGTCAAAACAGCAGCCAAACCGGCCAGCCGCGTGGTGGTGGTGGCGGCCGCGGGCGTGGTGGCGGTTGCCGTGGTGGAGGACGCAACGACAACTGGCAACTGGCAACCCAAGTTTCAAGTTTGTCATGTGTTAGGTCATATTGCTTCCACATGCCATCTTTGGTGTGCCAAGGATCCGCAGGCTAATGTCATATATCAAGAAACTCCTTTGGATCCTCAAGGTTCCCACACTTGGCTTCAGATATAGGTGTCACCAATCATGCCACTCTGGACATCGCTACTCTCTCCTTCTTGGAGGACTACAATGGTAATGACACATTACGTGTCGGTGATGGTATGGGATTACCTATTAGTCGTATTGGTCATGCTACCTTTAATTCTCCGTCTAGATCTTTTCAATTGTCTAATATCCTTTGTGTTCCTAGTTTGTCTACATCTCTGTTGTCTGTTCAAAAATTTGCATCAGAAAATAAGGTGTTCTTTGAGTTTCACCCATCTTTTTTTGTTGTGAAGGATATCAAAACCATGGAAATTCTTCTACGGGATAATAGTTCTGGGGGGCTTTACAAGCTTCCCATTCCGAGTTCGTCACCAACTGCGTTTCTTTCGGCTACAGCCTCAACATCTGTATGGCATGATCGTCTTGGTCATCCTCATCAACGAGTTCTCAGTCAAATTCTTTCGTCTTGTTCGGTTAGTGGTTATAGCAGTAATATTCGTTATTCTTCTGGTCTATGTAATGCATGTCAGTTAGGGAAATCTGCACGGTTTCCCTTACCGCGTGTTGAGTCCTCTAGTTCGTGTGTCCTTGATTTAATTTACACAGACATTTGAGGACCTGCTCCCATTCTTTCTACTAATGGATATCGTTATTTCGTTATCTTTGTTGATGACTACTCTCGTTACACTTGGTAATTTCCTATGTCACAAAAGTCTGATCTCGATGCTATCTTTGATAAGTTTCGCGCTATGGTTGAACGTTCATTCAATCGCAAAATTAAATCCATTCAATCTGATCTAGGAGATGAATATAAAAAGTTACACACCACCTTGGCTCAATTAGGCATTCTTCATAAACAATCATGTGCTTATACTCATGAACAGAATGGTCGTGTCGAAAGAAAGCATAGACTCATTGTTGAAACTGGTCTAGCTCTCTTAAGTCGTGCCTCCATTCCTTATAAGTTTTGGGATTATGCTTTTGAGACTGTGGTTTATTTAATTAATAAAATGCCATCCGCTGTGACAAATAAATCCAGTCCTCATCTGCTGTTGCATAAATCCCCTCCATCCTTTTTTTTTTTTTTTTTTTTTTTTTTTTTTTTTTTTTTTTTTTTGTATCTTTGGTTGTCTGTGCTATCCGTATTTGCATACCTACAATCGTCATAAAATGTCTTATAGGTCCTCTCCATGTGTCTTTCTAGGCTATCATGGGTCATTTAAGGGGTATAGGTGCATGTACCTTCAGACTGACAAGGTATATATATGCAGGTGGCGAGCTGTCGTAGGCTCCCAAATTAGAACCTTACAAACGTAGTAGCAGGAGTAAGGGTCGATCCCACGAGGAGTAACTAGTTAACTTTTGTGCTTAAGAAAATGATAGGGGGTTTGAAATATAACGAGAATAAAGATTAAATAAAAGAGAATTTAAATAAACAAGAAATTTAAATGAACGAATAAAGCAATGAAAATAATATATTGAAGACACTTATAATAGAAAATCTTGGTTAGTAAAGATCCACCACCGGAATTTAACACTGATCATTGATTCATAAAGTAATTAATATGCAGTTGAATATTTGTTGTGAAATTATTTCATTTCCGTTTTCCCTTAGTTGTAGGTAACTAAAGCACACGCGGTTTAATTACCCCTATCTACTAAATAATCTAAGATAAGCGCTATAGATTTAATAATTTAATAACAGCAATATGAACTAGGAAAACCGACAAACTAAATAACACAAGCACAAGCGATTGCATTTAATTTAAAAAAATATTCTATCCGAGACTAATTATCACTAAGCCGTCAATAATTAACCCAGTTGCTACTGAATATTAGAATAATTTGTAGCACAACATTAACTAATATAGCAAATAATTATATCAAATAAATAAATAACTAGTAGGCCTCCTAGCAATTAAATGATACAACTATTCAAATAATTTAGAAGAATATTTAATACTCAAATGCATAAAAAACATATATAATAAAAATAAATAAATAATCTTACATCATAATCAATTTCGGGGCTTCAATTCACTAAACCAAGCTAAAGAAATTAGCCATGAATGAACATTGATAACAACTTTAAAGAATAATCTAGAGGGGGAAAGAATGAACGACTTCAATGCTATTGCTACCATCTATTTATAATATTTTCAATATAAACTTAAGTCATTTTCTATCATCCAATTTCCTACTATTGCGCCAAGCCATGAAATCATCCGCTAGCTGCTTTGCACGCCCGAATTTGTGTTGAATTTTTGACGAAATCTATTTTGATGTTGCGCCACATACGTGTGTACTGTATGAAGAAATGAAGTAAAGAAGCAACATATATGAAGAAATGAAGTAAAGAAGCAACATATATGTAATGCTAAATTTTGTTTTGTCTTTTTGTGTAAGCAATTAAGAATTGGACCATAATTAACATACTTAAATTATTAACTAAATAGTATTATAAAACATTTATTTAATTAATTAATTATTAAAATCTAAAATGAAATAATTAATATATAATAGTAAATAATTAATAAAAATATATTATAAAAATGTACGTAAAATAGTCGTATAAAATATGTCTATCAAATTCCCCCACACTAAAACGTTTGCTTGTCCCCAAGCAAAAATATTATTTGTAAAATAAATTAAAATGAAATTCTTAAAACTCATAACACATCATGAACAATAATCTGAAACACCCTGCAATTAATAAGTTAGCACCCATGTTCAAAGATGGAGAGAACTAAACAAGTAAGCCCTCACAGGGATATCGCTCAAGTGTTTGATGTGTATAGATTTCACTCAAGTTCATTTCTATAAAATTGCTCTACCATAGGCTTGCATATCTTCTCAATCACCACTACAAGAGTCATGCATGACACAAATCATAAGGACTTTCCACATGTTGTAATGGGGCTAGGGGTAAGGTAGGGTGTAACACCCCCTAAAAAAAAGCTATATGAAGCCTTAAACAAGCAGATAACACAACTAAACAACAAACACAGCGAAAGACTAAAAGATAACTGGATAAGCATAAATCCAAGTCATGGGGTGTTATGCCACGTTCACCAACAAGGATGAACGCTACGGCAATATCTGCATTGTTTACAACTAATCCATAGTCTCAAAAGTCTACAACTAAACTGGCACACAGGCCACAAAACAAGCGGGAGAAGCTACACTAGCAAGCACTAGACTTCGCACTCGTCTAGACATCACCTGAAAGAACACAATAAAACATGGGACGACGCCCGGTCAGCGAATAATGCTGGTAACCCACCAATACATGTGAAATAACATACATAGATAAGATATAAGTTGTAAAGCCATTTTCGAAACGAAATACATAAGTATATAAGTACAAAACCAAGAGCAATAGTCAACACAAGACTCAACACTCTCAACAAGGATACGGGAACACATCCCAAACCACAAAGCATACCACAACACAAGGATAAAGACAAGACTGATGGCAACACATGATCTTGTGACTACACACGTCACAAGAAGAAAACTCACCACATCGGCTACACAAGCCCTCGTGACATCACCCATCACGAGTTGATATGCCTTCCTTATGCCCAGTTCCAACCTTATGGCTACCCCCAACCTTATGTCTAGTTCTAACCTTTACCTCCAGGACCCCTGTACACCAAGTCCAACCTTTTCCCTCCGACGACCGTCATCCCCTCTCCAACAGATCTCCAACATAACCACCGATTTCATAGTACACGAGGGTACCGATCACACACACGGCAACACATGCCACCCAAGAATCACGTGAACCTTACAGAAAGGTCACAACTCCATAATCACGTCATGGCCACCACGAGGACCGCTGCAATACCTTGGTGACTAGTGTCCCATACCACTAATCGTGCAATCCAGGTAAAGCCACACACACATCACACCACAACAGGAATCAATCAACGGATCACAACGAAGATATGAAACCATACTCAATCAAGGAATGGGTCACAACCCAACAACAACAAAGATGAATAACACAAGTTATCATCAACCATTAAGAAGGTACAAACAACACACATGCTAGCATTTAAATACCGAACTAGCATGCTCATCAAACGGATAAACCAAACGTAGTTCCGAGGAACACACAAGACTCATCACGGTTCAACGGAACACAATGTTGAACACTTAGCACGATTCAAGACACCAATACCTACATGGATACCTACCATATAGTTCTAGACATACGAAACATCAAGAAGACACTCAAATAGTTCCACAAAAGAACATCGGGAAGTCAAAAAACCAAATACCGAGTCAAAAGAATCACGGGGAACAAATCCCCAAACAACACCAACACTGTACCCGCGGGTAGGCCCACGGGTAGACCTCTACCGCGGTTCCGCCTGCGGGTACAGGCTCCTTCACACCGTGTACCCCGCGGGTGGGCGGCGGGTTGGACCTCTACCCGTCGTTCCGCCCGCGGATACACCCCTGTACCACAATAATACACTTCGCGGATTTTCTTCTCCAAACTCAAATTCAAGTCCAAAACGTGCCAAATCTCACCAAATACAACAAAATGACTTGAATAAAAGGAAATGCCAAGCAATGGCACACAAGAACCCTAAACACAAGCTCTAGATATGCATTTTCACAAGATCATGCATCAACACTCACATTTCATAGCAAAACACATGTAGAATCCAAGAAATCACATATAGGTAAGCAAAATAGATTTTGTAGAGCATGGGTTACCAATTGTAGACTAAAGACTTCACTTTACACCTCAACAAGCTCCTCACTAGGCTCACCTTCCAAACCCACTTCAAGAACAAACCAAAACATCATAAAGATCCTAACTTTAAGAAAAGACACCTTAGATAGAACCAAAAACACAAGATGAACTTAGATCTTACCCTCCTAGATGCCCAAATATAAGAAAGGTTGAATCTTGGAAGCAACTCTTGAAATTTTGGCAAGGTTCCAACTTGGCTTGGAAGAAAAGCTACTCACCTTTTAGAGAGAGGGTGGAGCTAGATTTTTAGAAAAGTGTAAGGATAGAATGAAGGTGGTCTACTAGGTTAGGTTACATTACCAACAACAAGTGAAAGGTAAAGAATGCCCTTACTAACATAAGGAAGTGTAAGGAACAAGGGAACTCCTTACAAAGCTCAATGTACAACTTTGACTCTGGGGTTGACTAGTCAATTACTATTCCCCAACTATTAAATTTCAGGAATTTAAGGAATTAAATTACAAATTGAAATAGTGTTAATTACTCAATTAATCCCTTAATTGAATTTGGATTTCGGGGTGTCACATCATCTCCCCCTTCAAAGAAGCTTCGTCCCCGAAGCTTGGGTACGACGAATTAAAGACAAACGATGAAAGGAAACAACATTGTGACAAGAGGTTCATGAACAAACTCTTTTGGTCAAAAACTCCAAAAGATTCTACAAAATTCTAAGGCAATGAAGTATCCCAAAGCAAGGAAGAAGGCATTTTAAATCAAGGATTGGCAAGAGTTAATCAAACGGATAAATTGAGCATCAAGAACTCTAGCCCAACACAAACACCAACTTCTAAACAACAACTAAAACTAGACAACCAACACCAACTACCAAGCTAAACAATCAAC